TTTTACTTTTTCTTTCCCTGGGAAATACCTTTTTAGCCAGGCATGCTTAATCATCTGTTTGGATCATATTCAGCCATTTTGAATATCTTAAGAAACAGTTGTGCGGTCTTTATGCAACCGTACAACCAATCAGAGGGGACCTTATTACACATAACACTGAGGGAACTTGTATATTGCAGGACATTGGCAATAACCAAATGAATATATTCTTCGTGTCTCAGACATTTATTTTTGTTTTTGGCAAATAATCACATTATCCATATCCAGATACGATTCCTTATGACTTTTTTCCCAAAACTAATAATGACATTGAAATCTCGTGGGTGAGATTAAGAAGAATGCAACAAAGTGGCTGATTCTGATTTTGAAAGAGGATTTATCTACCACAAGGAAAGTTGGTTCTCTGTGTTGCACCAGAGGGTTTTTCTCATCTGAGTTCATCTTTCAAATCTACAAAGCTACCATTCGTCCTTGCATTGAATACTGTTGCTATGTCCTCAACAAAATCCAAAGGCAGATATGCAATATGATAGGTCCTGACCTAGCATCTCGACTCCACTCACTTTTTCCACAAACGTGAGGTGGCTTCCCTCTGTCTTTTCTATAAATATTTTCATGGCAACCTCTCTGATGAGCTATTTTCACTAACCCTTACCCCAACTGCATGAATTTAACCATGCTATTAGGTTGGCAGTTCATTCCCATCCTTTTACTGTCAAAACAGATGTAACCACCTCTTCTTCAACAGTTTCTTCTTCTACACTTACCGACAGTGGAACTCCCTAATTATAATCTTCAAAAATTTAAATGTAATGCCAATTGACATCTACTGTTGCCTTGATCTTGATCCCTGTTCAGTTAAGGCAGTGAAGAACTTTCAGAGGGGAAATTAACAGGAGATAACTGATAACTGACATCCATTAGACATGGCACGTGGAACTAGAACAGTCTACCCCAGTGAGCAAAATAAAGGGTTCAGTTCGACATTCCAACCACCTGAAGAAAGCCAGAGTGTACAACCGCCGAAATGTTGTAATAAATATGGCGACAAAGATGAGGACAATAGTCCGAATAATGTAAATAGTGAAGATTTTTTAGATAATAATTAATAAAAACAAAAAATAGATAAAAGTGTATATAACACCATAATACTGGTGGACACAAATTATAAAACAAAATGTTTTAAATTTCTATTGTTTATTGAAAATCCCACTAAAACTACTGCATTGTATAATAAGTTATAATATAGTTAAATTGTTCAGAATAATTTCCCTTTGAAGTAAAAAATGGTCTTATTTGATGGCCCAATGATTTAGTAATAATGTGCTTGTGCCATTCATCTTGTCTATATATACAATTTGTAAAGCTTCAGTAAATTATAAATTTTATAAGGCTTTCATGGAACAGCAGAATGAAATTCCAGCACAACAATTTTGAACCTAAACTTAACATTTAAACTAGTTTCCACAAAAAATGGTAATGATTTGAAAAAAAAAAAAACATTTTGTATCATTATTCATCATTTCAAATTGAGTGCAATACCACGGTTTCAAAATTGACCTGCCTTATTCTGTATTTGAATAAACTTAGAATGTCTACATCTGAGAAGATTGATTTGATTATGTGTTATTTAATGCCAGAATCTTAATATTATCTTTTGGCGGGGGGGGGAGATAATAATGGTTTTGATGATACAAGTTTTACTAATTAACCCATATCTGGGAGTAGAAGATGTGGATTCATTCCTTTGCCAAGAGTATTTGTGCTTCAGTGAATAGAATCAACCCAATGAGAATTGGAAGTCTGCTTTCCGATTAACAATGCCATCCTATTATCCATTATACCACTCACACAACTAAGCTTACCTGATATTCCCAAGCAGTCACAATCTAGATACTGATTAGGCTCAACATTGCTTAACCAGTGAACCAAACTTGATGTGACCTTAAGACTCTGTTTTACAGTATAAGTTTATGTATAAATTGTACTATATAGGAATCCATTTTCAAAGAGTTTTTATATTTTGTCTTATGTCAGCTTCATAGCTTTTCAATTACTGAGTCTTCGACATATCACATCTCAACAGGTCAGTTTGTGTTTTTGTGTAGATTTTTTCTTAATTTATTAAACATATTTAATACATTTTTTCTAAATCTACTAACATTTTATTGAGACTGGGTTGTTTTTTATGATTAATGCTTCTAAGATTTGTAATCATTTTTTACAGTTTATGTTACATGGTATTTTTGTGCTATCAGTAATGATTTGTCAGATTGCTTTCATTGATTGTTAACCAAACTTGTATAAATCAGTATATATGTAATAAGCAAACTACAGGATAATGGTCAGGAGTGTAAAAATCCCCCCCCCCACACACACACACAAAAAAAAATTAAATTCTATCAATAATTGGTGCAAATCTGGTAAAAACCAAAACAAAGTTTTGACAATTCTTATGAACATATATGAAGACAGATTTACTAAAACTGATAATTGATTTGCCAGTTTTATATTTCTCAAGCAGGTATTTTAAAATATCAGTCATATCCAACAATTCATTTTCAAGATTAAAATAAATATATATGCTAAAGTTATTAAAAAAAATCATCATTGTTTACTCTATTTACATTCAGACAAATATCCTTATCATTGTTGTTTTTATCACAACATTTCTCTGGCCTTTGCCGTATGTTTGTCAATCAAGGTAATCTTCAGGAAATTTTGAACTGAACTCTTTATTTATGGGGTAGATGGCACTTTTTTTTACTGCCCATGTCTTCGGATATATTGTCTTGTATTTTTTAGTATCGGTAAACTACTGCTCAATCTGTTTCCACTGTGGCTAAATCTGTACCAGGGATTGAACTCACAATTACTACAATGCCAAAGACACAATGAAACATTTGGATCCATGATGTTATTATTTGTGAAGGTTAACAGGATTGACAGACATCTGAAGAAGATTGAAGGGCACAATGCCAGTAAATGTAAATAATATAAATAATAATTTCTCATCCAAATAGAAGAGATCAGGTGATAACAACAACAAAGATGAGGACATTAGTTTGAATCTAAATAATGATAACTCCTCATCCTAAATATTCAGACAGAAGGCAATCAGGTGATAACAACAACAAAGATGAGGACATTAGTTTGAATCTAAATAATGATAACTCCTCATCCTAAATATTCAGACAGAAGGCAATCTGATGATAATAACAACAAAGATGAGGACATTAGTTTGAATCTAAATAATGATAACTCCTCATCCTAAATATTCAGACAGAAGGCAATCAGGTGATAATAACAACAAAGATGAGGATATTAGTCTGAATGTAAATAATGATAACTCCTCATCCTAAATATTCAGACAGAAGGCAATCTGATGATAATAACAACAAAGATGAGGACATTAGTTTGAATCTAAATAATGATAACTCCTCATTACAAAAATTTATATTTATATGAGAAATATATTGTATGAGTTTCAGTATGTATTATTTTTTCTTAGAAAAAAAAAAAGCAAAAATATCTAAACAGAAAAGCATATTTGATCCACAGAATATCCCATTTACCTTATTCTTGGATTGAAGAATCTGAGAGCTGAGTTCGAATTCCAGTCAAATCCATTACATTCACTTACGTGCTAATACCCTTGGGAAAGATATGAATCCTCTTCTCCTCCCAGCTATGGGTAAATAGCAGGACAAACCGGGTTCTATATCCTTGGATGGCAAATACTCTACCGCAGAAAGAAATGGCAACCTACTGCGGGAAAAAAAAACTGCCTTGTCAGTCATGTATCAAAAGATACATGATCACCTAAGCATATATCACGCACGGCACATAACTGACTGATTTTACTTGTTAACATAGGCATTCTACAACCTTCATTAGTCTTTCAAACATTGATTTGGTAACTTTTCTACTATTTCTAATTTAGTTTGTATTGATTCCTAGAGATCTTCTTTGCTTCAATACTCCTTTCCAATCTCATTTTCTGCCATTGTGTCCTGACTTCTTCAGATATCTTCAAGATGGATATCTTTCAAAGAATATCGAAGTGCACATTTTATTTATTCCAAGAGACAACTAAGGAAAGTCAGCATGTTGTGATAACAAAAAAGATGTGGATATTAGTCTGAATGTAAATCAACAAAACAATTATAACTTCTCCTCCCCAAAATTCAAACAGAAAGTAACAAGTGGTTATTTTAAAACTTAAAATTTATTTTGAAGCCTGTTTTATTCTAAGAATAAAATCAGGAAATAATCTATAAAAGAACTATGAATGGTAATGAGGCACCACTGGACAATGAGTTAATCTTATAAAACAATGAACAGTCTGAGAAAAGTTCCTTGAAGCCAAAAGGGAGGCTGGTTCTTTAGAATAGCTGAATAAAAACTGAAAACTGCATAAAATGTTGGCCCTTTCACAGAACAAAGAAACAAAAACCAGAAGTTCCAAATTGAAGGGAAAAGAATTTTCTTTTAAGCTGTCAGAACAAGGTATAATGGTACTGAGGCTAGCACTCTACAAGAAGTAGCCATTCTTGACGTAAATGTGATCTTTAAAGAAGATGGAGGACTGGAATTTACAAGAAGCGCCATGTATGGAAATGCCCAAGAAATATATTTTGCTGTGTCTGTCTTTTTTTTTTTTTCCTTTTTCTCATTTCTTTCTTCCTTATATAGATATGGGTGTGGGTGTAAGTGTGTCTAAGTCTATTTATCAAAGAAACAAATAGCATTCTTAAAATGAGGTTAATGTGAAGATATAAAAAATAATAAAAAAAGATGAAAGATTGAGTGAAGAAATAAAAAAGAAATAACAAAACAGATTAATAAGATAAATAAAAGGAACAAAACAAAATCAGATGATAAAAAAAAAAATGGCTGGATGATTTGATAGAAGGAAATAGACAAAAAAAAATGGATAAAAAGAGAAGGTTAAAAAAATGAAAGAATAGGAAAATTAATGAAATTTTATGAAAAACAAATCAAGAAAAAAGAAGGAAATGAAGAAATAAAAGGAGAAAAAAAATGAGAAAAGAATAAAAATAAAGGAAGAAAAAAGAAAATATTATGAATGTGTTTATTCTGACACATTGATACTATATGGGTCATTTAACATAAGACGTTATATTTGGCATTTGTAGTCACAGCATAAGGATGTTTGATTTTCTGATGTCTTTTATAAATCTGTGAATAATACGAAAGATTATGTTTTTATCTATACAAAGGCAGATAAAGAATGAATGATAAAGAAATGGGGGGGGGGAGAAGAAATAAGCAGAAAGTCCAGATTAAGAAAAATGAAAGGAAAGAGAAGGGAATTGTAAGGATAAAATTGCTCAATGCAACAATAAGATAAGAAATAAATAAAGAAAAGAGATAATAAAAAAAAAAAAACAATTAACAAGAAGATAAATAAGAAAGAAAAAAGAAAGAAAATGCCAGATGATGAAAGAGAAAGAAAGAGAATAATGTTAAAGATCTTCAAATATAGAAATTAAAAAGAAGACGGTACAAAATGGTAGGAAGAAAAGCATCAATAACAAAGAAAATGAAAGAGACAAATAAAAGAGAGAAACAAACAAAAAGCAAATGAAATGAAGCAAATAAGGTAAAAGCTTGAAGGGAAAAAAATAATAAAAAAAATATATATATATATATATATATATATATATATATATATTAGTATAGGATTGGTGTAGACAGAATAAAATTTCAATAACCAAAAACACTATTCTTAAAAGAGTGTTCAATAAAGCAAATAGTATTTATTTAAAAATTATAACATAAATATGTTATAACATCACTACAAAAATAGCCATTTTGTTTCAACACTTCTGGTGTCTTATCAAGTGACGGTGTTTTATTTTTGCAATCAACACTATCACTTGATAAGACACCAGAAGTGTTGAAACAAAATGGCTATTTTTGTAATGATGTTATAACATGCTTATGTTATAATTTTTGAATAAATACTATATATAATAACCAACCAATAAAAAAACACCAAAAAATCAAATTAAAAACTAAGGAAATGAAAAAAAGGGTAAAGAAATTAAATGATAAAGAAAAGAAAGAGAAAGCAGAATCAAAAGAAACTAAAAAAGAAAATAAAGGCATAAGGAAATGCAAGAAAAAGAATAGAAAAGTAGAATTAAAAATTAAAGAAAGAAAGAAAAAGCAAAATTAAAAGATACTAACAATAAAAAGTAAAGAAAGAATTAAAAGAAACTAAAAACAAAAAAGCAATAAATAAATGAAAGAAAAAGAGAAAAAGAATGAAAAATTAAAATTAGAAAAGAAAACACACAATCAAAAGAAATAAAAGTAAAAAAAAACAAAATCAAAAAATAAAAGAAAAACATCACAAGAAAATGAAAGAAAGAGAAAAACAATGGAAAATCAAAAGGAAAGATTAAGAAAAGTAAAAGCACAATCAAGAGAAACTAAAAAAGGAAAAAGAAAAGAAAGGTGAAGAAGAGAAAGAAAAAGAGCAAGTTCAGAAACTAGAAATAAGAGAGACAAAACAAGAAACAAAAACAAAAAATAAAAGGGTCAAAAGCATAATGAAGATTAATACCTATATATAAAGAACAAAAAGAAAGCAAATGATGAAAAATGATTTAAAAAATAGGTAAGTACTAACAAGAGAATAAACAATAAAAGGATAAGACCGAAAACTAAAAATGTAAAGAATATAAAAAGATGTAAAGAAAATAAGACAGAAATCAAAAAAGATGTAAAGAAAATAAAAAAGATGTAAAAAAAAATAAGACAGAAAATAAAAAAAAACATGTAAAGAAAATAACAAAACAAAAAAAGCACAAAAAGGCCGAGACAGCTTTAGCAAAAGAAACAATGAATGAAATCAAACATGGAACAAGAAATGAAAAAAAAAAATCCATAAAGCCATAAGAAATGAAAAGGTGCAAGCGATGAGGTTTTATGCCATTTCTTCCAATTCTCAAGAATAGCATCAACTCATCTGAGTGGCAGGCTAGAACTGCGCACGGTTGATTAGGGGGGAGGCTTTATAAATAACTTGACATTTCCTAAAACTGGTGTTATTTCAGGACAATTTTAAACAAACACCATGATTGAAAATTTCCCAAGTTTCATGAAAAAGTGAAAAGAAAACCTCTGAAACTCATATCTTCATTGTTCTACTCAATGCAACATTGGGAACAAAAAAATCAATGAAAAAGAGTTAAAGATGTAATGAATTTTTATAAAAAAAAAAAAAAATTAAAGACTTAATAATGTCTGATAACTTTATATGATGCAACCTTCATGACTGCTATTTGTATTCTTATGAAGATCATGAACTCTTATTTCCCTTGGCCTTAAATTCATGCAATCAGGGCACCTGGGAAAAAAAAAAAAAACCTTATCAGTGCAGTTGCCATGAAAATATTTGTAGAAAAGAGAGGAAAGCCACGCCATGTCAGTGAAAAAGTGACTGAAATCAAGATGCCATGTTCGGATCGATTATATTGCAGATCCTCCTTTGTTAAGAGCCTTGAGATGAACAGCAGAGACACCAGACCAGATATGACAGCAGTATTCAATGCATGGACGAATGGTTAGTTTTATAAATGTGCAAGATGGACACATTGACCCAACTTTCCTTGCAGTAGATGCAGCTATTGGTTCAATGTAGTTGCTCCACTTCATGTCAGTGGAAAACGCAAAGCGAAGACGACACAATATGTGCTGCTCTCCTGGATTCTAACATCAGCTAAGCTGATGGCAGGCAAAAAAATTTCTCTATGGTGGTTAAATGAGAACACTGATGATATGTATATACTTCTTATTAGGAGATTGGATTTTAAGACCACGTAACAGCTAGAATTTTAAAAGCTGATTCTCTAGGTAGGCAGTTTCGAAGAAAAAAAAACTTTCTTTTTGCCATCAATCCCAAGTCAAGTTTATTAAAGATGATTATTAAAAGAACAATGATTGATTGATCAACCCTTTACAGGTTATTTAAAGCAAGAAAATATTTTTAGATTCTAAGAATTTTCTTTTTGAGATAATAATGATTTAGTGATACAAGTTTTACTAATTAATTCATAGCTGTGGGAAGATGAAATGAATTGATATTTTTCCCAAGGGTATTTGCGTATAAGTGAAACCACTTGCGGAACTCATTCTTCCAGAGTCTTCATTTCCAGTCAACTATGATATTTTAAAATTTAAAAGCAATGTCAATCGTTATCTGTCTCCTTGAAACCTGTTCTTTTATTGTCCTCTCTCTCTCTCTCTCTTTTTCTCATATTCTTTCACACTCAGTAAATCCTTGTTGTTTTATCACCGTATATGGGGTGAAATGATATATATATATATATGAAGAAATATAGTCTTAAGATGTGCTATACTTATGGGATAAAGTGCTCAATATCAGAGATAGAGCATGTGTAAATATAAAAGTGAACATTGAAGTCAACACTTAATGTTCACTTTATATATATATATATATATAGTACAGGTAATAAATCTGTTGTTATATAATCCAAGTGCATCCTAGTAATATGAAGTATTAAAACTGACCAACAAAAAGTGGTCAATGTATTTATTATAACAGTGCATATAAATTACACAACAAAATCCAAAATTACCTCATATGGTTGGCGTATAGATCTATTCCAACCAACGAGAAGTACGTTAGTCTTATACAACCCTGGTGTATAGACTATATACACCAGGGTTGAATAAGACTAACGTGCTTCTTGTTGGTTGGAATAGATCTATCTCCCAACCCCTATGAGGCAATTTTGGATTTTGTTGTGCAATATATATATATATATATATATATATATATATATATATTGTTGTAACCTAGGGAAGGTTACTGAATAGAATTATCAAACAAATGTTGGTAATGAATGATAATACTTAGGACACGAACAACACATATAAGATTATTCAGCAGCATGCAGAAGTAGTAGTCAACTGAAAGATGTGAGTCAAGTGAATTCCACAATGAATCTCTAACTGCAGGATATCTACCAACTGCTTCACACATTCAAATGTGGCACAAGGCCGAATTTAATGTGGGGTATCCGAGCCCGTAGACTCAGACAAAAATTCCCTGTATAAAACAGGGCCGGGTAGCTGTTTCCCCAAGATGAGACTGCCCTTCGACATAGGCTCGTTTGGGGATCCTCTCTGTCCGGAGGCAGAGAGTTTGACCAGCACAGCTGGAGATGAATCTCAACTGCAGACCAACATACAGTATTTACTACTGTATTTATATGAATGGGGACATACTCATTATTGTCCGTAAGTATGCTGCAACATATATATATATATATATATATATATATATATATATATATGAGAGAGAGAAAGAGTGGGAGAGGGGAGAACATGAACAAAAAGAAAAAGAAATTAAATGAAATCAACTAGACTATATACTAAAAACATTTATTTAAAAAAAAAAAGAAATTTAATTTAAAATTCTATGTGTATCTCTGTCTTTGTGCACATGTACAGTCACATCAATGCATGAAGTTGTAATGTAAAATCACATGAAAACTTTTTTCCACTTTGTCATATTCCCCCCCCCTAAAATATATAATTGCGTATTTAGGCACCAATCCCTCTCTTATACAAATTTTGTTAAAAACGTCAGACAAGCTACTGTGGTTAAGTTTTTTACTTAATTTTTGTTCTTATGAGTTCTTATAATTTTCTTCTTTTCTGGACATAAATTAAGTAGAAATTATTTGAATGTTCGAGCACTTTTGGCTATTCTTTTAGCTATTATCACATGATTTTATTTTTAAGTTAAAATTAAAAATCATGCTTCCCAAACACTACAGTCTCAACCTCTTCAAGGCCAGTATCAATCATTATCTATCCTACATATCCTCATAATCAACACTTCCTATTTTCATTCAACAACTTCATTCAGTAACCCTTTACTTTGAGTGACACTTGGGCCTTGTATTGGCTGAACAATAGTAAACAAAAAAAATTTACTAATGTATAAAATAAACATTTACCTAAGTTATAAATTCGTTATCAGGAGAAGGAAGGACAAAATTCCAGACAAGAAAATATGAAATAACAGAGGTAACAAGAATAACACATTCACAATCAATTGTCAATATTCTTGGTGAATTTTAAATTCGTATGGCCTCACAAACCAGACCTTCGGCAAGAATACTTTTATAACTCCCTCTAGTCGTTCACAATTTAGATGGAACAAAACTGAATTAGACGAACACTCTAGCTCCAGCCTATTTACGCATTTATGATTGGATGCGTGCTAGAACACCTGGAGCCAAATTTCAAGTCTTCAGAATGCTGACTAATTTTGCTTGATATTGTCGACAGCTTATCACAACCAGCAGATTTGAGAGTGCATTGCTCATGGGTGCCTTGAGTTGTCAGCAAATAGGCTGACCAATCAGTCAGCTGCCCACTATACCAGAAAGCTGGATTAAAATGGCCTCAGAAGCCATAGTCAACCAATCTTCGAACACTGTAAAATGATAAAAGTTAAACGATTGGGAGATGGCTATTTACAGTGATGTACTATACAATGTTTTAATGATTTCATATCTAAAACAATCACCAAAGTTGGGAAAATATTGCAACCACTTTTTAGATGACTTATTTGAGAATACAAAGATATATAAGCAAACATTTGTACTTGATTCTGAATAACATCACATTATGTTTTCTATTTTCATGAATACAATTTCATCGTAATAATTCTGGCCATAATTTTGACTTAAAAAATGCCGTCTTAATTCAATGTGAAAGTAATTTATTAAGGCAAAAGTGTACAGAAAGTGCACTAATTTCTGAAACTTCCATAATAAATTTACACCCAGATTTATCTAACATTATATATTAGCAGTACCAAAAATAAGAACTAGATAAGATATTCCCAGACCTTGGAAGTGTAATAAGAACAGTATATCCCCATAGATTAAATAAAGGGTTCAGTTGAGAGTTCCCTATAAGTCACACAAACTGATATACACCTGATGAAGGTTGGAGTGTACAATAGACGAAACATTGTAATAACAACAACAAAGATGAGGACAATCGCCCAAGTGTAAATAGTAAAAATAACATCTAACCCATGTCTATATTTCTGAGATGAG